GCAAGAACTATTAATCATATTTTGGTTTATATACATTTTAAACTTAAAATATTTTTTGATTTATTTAATAATAATTTTAAAAAATAAACTCTAAAATATTAATTGATAAATTCTATTGCAAAATAATATTATTAGTTTCTATTACATATCAAATATGTTAAGATTAAACTAATATATACATCTTGTTTAAAAATATATAAAAAAAAAATAATAAAAAAAAAAATTAAAAAAAAAACACATACACATACACATACACTATTAGAATTTAAATTCATTTAAGCAAGAGATGTATGATAAAAAAATTATGCGCTTTGATATAAATTTTTTTTTTTACTGATTGATACTTAAACAATTATTAATAATTTTGAAATAACAAGAGTTTTAAATTGAAACTTAAGAATAATAGACTTTTTACAAAACATGTTTAAAAGAAATGTACGTGCATATATATATATATATATATATATATAAGAACACTAAAAAATTTATATAATAAAAAATTATCCTAAATTTACAAAAAGCTAAAATTTAGATATGATAATGTTTGAAGCATCATTTTCTTATAATTTGTTATACATTTTAATGTAAAAAGTCTTGATTCTTTAAGTGGAAACTTTATTTATTCAAATCAGAAGTTTATATTTTAGTAAGAATATTTTAGGTGTTTTTAAGGTTATTTTCTAATTTAAAATTTTTTATATTTTTATGATTTATTTTTTATTGATGAGATTGATCAGTAAAAACATTCCTACTAGTTGGATAATTTTGCCAACAACTATTATTTCTAAGAATAAGTTGTTATACTAGAAAGTCATTAAGATTAAAATATTTTAGTCTTACTTGTGGATCTTGTTTTATATTATTAATACCACACAAAGAAAAAAAATACAGAAAAATCACATAACATGGTATATAAATTAATAGTTATTTAATATAGAAGTCTTTTTTTATAAAAAACTAGTAAAAAATAAATATTTAAATATAATAAAATAGTAAAATAAAATAAAATAAAATAACATCATAAATACTATTGATGTTACTTATTACATAAATAAGTTTAAAGTATTCATTTAATCAAAATTCATCCATCTAAAGATGTTGATTTATTTTTGAATTTATGTAGGTTTATTTTTACTTTTATTTTTGTGTTGGTGGTATAATAAAATTTGATAGTATTTATAAAAAAAATTATGATGTAATTAAAAAATAGGTAAAAATAAATAAATAAATAAAAAATAATAGGATTTACTTTTGGTATCTAATTTTAGTACATAAGATTGATACTACATAAATATTTTTGTTGATTGGATATTATGGAAGAAAAATATTTGAAGGGCCATAAATATTTATCATATTTATATAAATAATTTTAATAAAAATAGACTTTAGAACATTAAAGAATTATTAGTTTATTGGTTATTGAATTGATTTTATTAAAGCTAGGACATGGAAAGAGTGTTGATTCTTGAGGCAAGGAATTTGTTGCATTAGAATCCAAGGAGCTAAGAAAAGGCACAACTATGGAAGACAAGATCAAGAGGATTAAGGCAATCCAAAGGCCTAATTTTTAAGAGAAGGTGCCATTTGAAGTCAAAATTTTAATAATCTTAGGTTTAATCAAGGGCAATCAAGAACCAAGTTATAGAGCTCTAATTTGTGGAAGGAGGTTTGTTGGTTGCCAAAATAGAGCATTAACTTTGAAGGGAAAAATTGGATGCATACAACCAATTATAGAAGCAAAATTTACATGATAGAGGCATTTTTCAAGTCTTCTTTTCAATAAGACTAGTTAGATTTAATTTAGAGTTCATAGTCAATAGTGGTATATTAATTTGTAAAGATGGGTGCAGCAATAGATTTAGAAGTTTCAAATTCTTTTGATTCTTATATGGATGATGTTAGTTCTTTAGTCAATTACTATGGATGAAACTTTGATGGAAGATAATGAAGGATATAGATGTCAATTTGAATGAATAATTAAATTAAAGAATGAAATTTTATAGATAAAATTATTAATTTGGATGTTATGTATTTTATGGATTAAAAATTGGAATGACATCTATTGTAAAAAATTTAAGTTATTAATCTATTAATTAATTAGATATATGTATGAACTTTGATTAATTAATAGATTAATAACTTAAATTGGACTACAATTTATAGTGTATAATAGGATTTAATAAATTTATATTAATTTATGTGTTGGAATTTTAAGACATCAAATTGAGTGCATTTAGTTCTTTATACATTTGATTTGGTGTAGAATCAAGATTTACTACATCATGATAGTGAAAAGACCACATATGTAAAAACAATTAGATATATTATAAAAAAATAAAATTATATACATATTAGACATTATTACATTTGGAACATTATTGGTTATGCTGGAATCTATTTATAATATAAAAGTAAATAAAATGAAGATATTGAAAAATCAATCTCAATCAAGAAATTTAAATTCTACTTTTACTTATTGAATGTAAAGTATTTTGGTTAGAGAATCACTTATTAAGATATAATGAAAATCATATCAATAATTAGATATATAAAATTCAATTCAAAATATAAATTATTGTAGTTTCGTCTTTTATTTTATCTACTTATAATAGATGTAGCACACTTAACTTATTTGATATTTAGAACCAATCTTATACAAATTTTAATTAGAAATAGAAGCAATTTTTTCAGCTCTCTTTTCAATGTAGCATAGTATATATTCTATTTAATATGTAATTAGAATATCTTATACACACTTTTTAGAAGGTTTTAGTGACTCTAGTGCTTAGCTTAATAGAATTTTAATTGCATATATGACCATATTTTAATATAAATATCTTATTGTGGGTAAATTTTATTATATGTGTATATGATTGTTTAATAATAATATTTTTTCTTTTAGTCTTATTGAAATACCAAATTTAAGAATATAAATAATAAATATTCAACATAGAATGGATGTAAAAGATTAAAAAAGAAAAAATGTATAGTTATATTTTTTATTTAATTTTTAGTTTTCATGCCTTTAATATAAATTATTATAACCATTTATTATTATTATTACATTTAAAATATTTTTATATTTAATAAAAAAATAGATTATTCTTATAAAAATCTATATACTTATAGATGTATTAGGATATAACTTTAAATATATTTAAAGATGTTTAAAAATATATCAAAGCTAAACTTATTAAAATCAAGTAGATTATTAGTTTTTGAATAAAACACTTAAACTCATAAATCTTAAATTTATTATATTTGTGATGTGATATTTCACCAATTTATTTTATGAATATTTGGCTAGTATATACAAAAATGTCTAATTTGATATTCATAGGAAATTTTAAAATATCAAAAATATTATCTTATAAAAAAAAAAACTACTATATTGATTGTTGAAAAACTTTATTATTTGTTATAAAACAATCCAGTAGAACTTGTAAAATATGGTGTTGAAAGTTTCCAAATTTTTATTTTTATTTTTAAAATTCTTCATTTAAGTTTTTTTTGTTTTTTTATTTTTATTTTTGACATTGATTATTTGGTATTAATAAATAAATAAATAAATAATATTACCAAATTCTTTCTTAATGAACTTATTCATACTAATGTCTACATTAAGATAAATTTTTGTAGAACTTCTCATGTAGGGCATATTAAAGAAACAAGGAAAGGAATAAACACACTCCAAATAATGTATAAATATTTTAAATATAATGCAATAGATTTGGACATAGAATTTAATTGTTATTCAGTATTTAATCAATAATATTTTTTGTAAATTCTTCAATAACCTAGTCATTTATTTATCAACTAGTCTCCTAATGTATTCTAAAAATTATATCATATACAGAATACCATACATGTTCTATTTCGTAAAATTTATAAGCTGTTGAATCATTTGTTAAACTTTTAAAGATAACTACGTTACCATCAACTAGAATATATTAATTAGATTTTTCGCAACAAGGATTTAGTACTAGATTGAAAAATAATTAAGAAAATTGAGTTGTTTTGGTGGAACTAATTCTATTTTTTTCATTTTTTTTTATTTTTTTTTAATGTATTCTATGAATTACAAATTTCTACAGAGTATTCATAAATTGTCCCCAAGTGCAAAAGAAATCTCCAAAAAGAAAAACTGAAGATGGTTTTTCTCTACTACATCAAGATTCATACAGGTCTTATGTACATTGAGACCTTGGACTTAGTCTCTAGCAAAATATTTATTTACTCACATATTAAAACTAAATGTGTAATTAATAATATACTGGTTCTTAATTAAAAACAAGTAAAGAGCACCAACAAGAACTATCTGGATAAAATGATTTCATCCACTGCATTGTGAAAAAACGTAAACCTATTTCAGACATACCGTGGATTTTTTAAAGTCAGCTTTGCAAAAAGATTATAATACTGGAAGAATACTGGTATAAAAAGCACTTAACCAACTACAATATTTGGTTGACGTTTTAACTAGTCATTATCAAAATCAAAATCGGAATCCCTACAGTAGTAGATGGATACTGGTTACTTCATGGATTCCAGCTACAGCTGTATTAAAACAAAGGTTTCAGCGTGCAGGATTCAACAACGTATCTCTCAAACTGCACGGGTCCATAGCAGGTGGTTTTTTGCAGTTGACATGAATTTGGGTGAGCACAAAGAGACATGGGGATCATTTGATCATCGGCACACTTCGGAGGTATAACCCCAAGTTCAAAGAGTACCCACCTGCACCGAATAGGAGTCGAGCCGGATGATATCATTTGGCCAGTGGAATGTTCTCTCATACCATTATCTTGCTAATTATTGCATGTAGTCTTGTTTTGTAGATAATGTGTGAATATTTGATCAATGGATTGAAGAGAGTACACTTACTCGGATGTGATTTTAACCTATGCGGCTGCTGTATTAGTTCAGTAAACGACAACACTCCTGCTCACTGGAAAAACCTTTCAACTGAAGAAAGCAAGAACAATCTCACGACTCGCACCTTAAGTACGTGTACAAATTCTCATCAATTCCCTGATCAGATCTGTAGTCTGAAAAGTACATGTTCACAAATCCTCCACGGGCTCTTCGCACAACTACCGCTATAACTCAGAATTGAATCTGAATTGATGTAATTTTCTAGGGCTCTATAGCCACAACATGTGAGATGTACGAAAATGACCTCCGGGATTACAATCCAACCGGTGACTCAATCTCAGATACAGTGTTCTGCACATCGTTCTTCACCTGTGCAGAGACGTCATCAATAGCTGCGCTCAATTGTGCAATCCGCTCGTTCAGGTTCTTCCGTGTTGTCTGTATAGAGGGATTATGATTAGGTGACAATCAAGATCTTCTGGTACATGGATTGTCCGCGGACTACAGTAGAAAGCAGCAAAACAGTCATTGATTGACAAATCTGGAACAATGCACCGGTAAAGGGTAGGTAGTACTAAAAGAAGCTCACCTCAAGACTTTCATCGTCTTCCATATCCATGGACTTCTTTGAATCTAATTCGTCCTCCTTCTCTTTTTGTGTCCCTTCCAAGGACTTGGTGATCTGACGTCCAAAAAATGCAGTAAAACGAGCAGCGAGAGAGAAAGAGATAATGGACAACAAAATTACAGGTTAATCAAAGCAGCACCCAGCTTCCCAGAAACAACTTGCTCAGGATAGTCATTCAATGATACAACTACTGAGAAAACATATACTCGTGCCCATTTTTGAACAGCTCCTACAAAGCCACCACTAATTTATGTGTTGTAGACACAACAAACTGATACGAGCTAGATTCCAGCCTACACATTACAAAAGTCTGTATATGTAGAGAAAAACCTGGGGCGCAAGCACATAGCCTAAAGCACCGAAAACAACTCCTCCAAGAAAGAAACCAGCCATAAAATCACCCACACCTCCTCGTCTGTTTGAGCATATACCAAACTGATCAACACAGGCACTCGGATGAAATAAGGATAAGAAATTGTATTTTTAAAATGCTGCATTCCAATCAAGTCTTGCTCTCCACAAACAAGTAGAAATTCAGTTAGCATGGACCTGTATTCAGCAGTAACACGAGCTCGATGTCCAGACACTTGTGATGACCAAGTCCGTTGCTGGGTAAACCTCAGTGTTGGCCTAAGCGAATTTGAAGATGACGTACCTGCTGGTAATAACATATATCAAAGTCCCACAATACACACCTTCTAGAAGTACATTAGAGGGATTCGGTGGTGTACTCAGCGGTTTTGCATGTGACGAGCCCCTCTACTCAAAACTAAGGTTGCTGAAGCTTTAGTCTATCCTCTATATCCTGTAGAATTTGATTCCGCAAAATTATAAAACCCTTTACGTTGATGAAGCTTGCTCGCCATGTTAGCGTTCCAGAAGCGTGCTTAAGTTTAAAAAAAATTAAGACTACAAAACTGCAACATTTACATCAATATTTAATCTTAAGGCAGTATGAAACCATCACATCTATACCAGCTGTCACTTATCAACTTTGCTGTGCTTCAGGGGCGAAACTCGAGCATCAGTAACCCAATATTCTTCACCGAAACACTAAGTCGAAAATCTCCGAAGTCATCAGGAATTCAAGCAAGGCCGACACTGATCAGACACGAATGATGAGTCAACATGCTGCAGCAGTTCAAGAGGTTTGAACGCTCTAAAAATTGCCAAAAAGTAAAATGTACCAATGTAGAAATAACCTGCAGACTAAAAGAAATGCGAAGGCGAAAAATAGTGAGAGAGCTATAATGAAGGCAGTTGGATTGCACCAAGGTCACAAGATCACAGACGAGACGAGGCAAATGCAGTGCCGGGACTTGAGAAAAGCGTTTCGATCAAAGAAATTACAAATTCCTCGGGTGCTGACCAAACACCCCTAATACCAATGAAAAACACAATGAGCTGTATCGCAAACATCCTCTAATGCCCAGCGTCCAAGCGACTCTCAAAACCTGCTAACACCGGCATTCTATAAGACAAAACCCAGAATAAAACACAACAGGACACAGACTCTCCTCTCCACACACACACACACACACACAGCACCCCCCCCCCCTCCCCCCCCC